CTGGAAATTGAACCCAGGTCCTTTGGAAGAGCAGTCAGGGCTATTAACTGCTGAGCCATTTCTCCAGCCATTATTATTATTATTATTATTATTATTTTGAGAGAAAAAATAAAATTGGATGCCTAGGGAAGTAGGGGAAGATTTAGGAGGAGCTGGGGGGAAAGGAAAGAATATGATCAAAATATACTGCATGAAATTCTAAAAAAAATAAAGCATAAAAAATATAAGAGAAAAAATAACTCTCTAGTAGTCCCCCTTGCTATCAGTTCACACTGTGACTCAGCGAGAGTGTGACTCCAATGACACATTCCCAATAGGTCATCTCTCACTTTGTTTATATCCACATTGCCAACCAGCCATGTCTCTGTATTCTGTGCCTCTCTACAGGATTACATTTCATCTTCCAACTTGGCCTTCATATTTGTTTTCCTCATCCAAATTATTTTTATTTTTGTGATATTTTTAAATTAAAACATAATTATGCCTTTTCCTCCTCCTACCCCTGTCCTATCCCTCCCTAGCTCCCTCTCAAACTCATGGTCTTTTCTCCTTAATTATTATAGGTTTTGTGTGTGTGTGTGTGTGTGTGTGTGTGCATGCATAAATATAGAAATACAATCTGATGAGTCCATTTCGTGTTGCCTGTAGGTACAGGATTTCAGGGTTGGCCGCTTGGCATTGGGTAGCCAAGTAGAAGGCACCTCCCTGGGAAAGACCAATTCTCCCTGTCAGCAGTTGTTAGTGGCCTGCAGTACTTTGTCTAGGGGTAGGACAGGTGAGAGTCCCTCATCCCCTTCCACACTGGCATATTCTTTGGTGCTATTGTTCTTATCTAGGCATCCATATTGTTAAGGTATCATGAGTATTAGCTCTCCTATTTGAAAGGAAGTGTTGAGTCAACTTGATTTTCAGAGACTTCAGGACCAAACATGCTAGAAGTTTACCCTGTCCCCCACCATGCAAAGACAGGCTCACAGCATGCTTGCCAACATGCTTCCTTCATAAGGCCCGTGGTGCTTCAGTGCAAAACAAGTGCTGGACTCAGTAAAATGAGTGTCAAGACTTCAGACGGCTTCACTTTGATTTAGGGGAAAAGATGGGGAGAGAATTTTTTTCTATCCCTCCCTCTCCCCCATCACAATTGCCCCCCTCTTTTGAAAAAAAAAAAACACCCTGGGACTGGTGTTAGGGATGTGAAACCAGGGCCTCATGCATGCTAGACAAGAATGCTACCCCCGAACCATATCCATCAGTCTGAATGTTTCTTCCCTCTGAAATAATAAAATTAAGCAAATGCTTGCTTTTCAGATTCCAAATAATGAACTGCTTAAATAATACACCAAGAGAACAGAAAATTGAGACTCCAAACTCAAGTGGCCAAGCTTCTAATAAAAGTGGTGTCCTTTGCTATATTCAAACATATGATTGTACACACACACACACACACACACACACACACACACACACACACGGTCAGGGTATTTAAACATAAAAGTGTTATTTAAAAGTCGGAACAAGAACAAAGCATCAGGACTCATCGATTGCATCAGCAAGGACAGCAGATTTTGCCAAGTCTTGTATGCGTTTCTTGGTTTGCAATAGCTCACAGGCCCCAGCAGTTTCCCAAGTAACAACGTCACAGAGAGACTCGGAAGAAAACCCTTGACGGCTACCACACACAAAAGAAAGTCACCGTCCGAATGCCTCCCAGGAGCCTATCTGAGGGACAGAGCATTTGACTGTATGGTTAATGACAGCAGTGGAAATAAAGGGGGCAGGCTTTGCAGAGAGAGGAACGAAGCCTTCTGGCCTCAGGACAGACAAGTGAGTGGCTGGCAGGAGTCTTCCCACTCTGGGTGCCCTAGAAGCCAGAGGTTGTCACCATCTGTCACGGAGGCTATTTTAACTCTTAAGATTTTAATATTTCTGATAAACAAATCTTAAGTCTACTGACCCCTACTGTTCATAGCTTGGGATTGAATGGGAAATAAAGCCATCGGCACCTGAAGGAGACCAAAGCCAATTAATACCCAGGATGGGGCAGGGGTTAGACTCTACAGCCACCAGCATCACAACATTTGGAGGGGGATTTATTTCCAATATTCCCATGACAGAAAAAAAAAGTCAAATTTCAGAGAGGTCAAGTGATTTTCCGAAGATCACATATGCTTTCAGAGGGCAATGACGGTAAGCTGCTATCAAAGTGTTTCACTAATAGTATGCTCCAGAAAAAGGACGCTTGTACTAAAGATCACATCAACCAGGAAGCCCAAACGAGTTTGTGGAAAACAGACCTTATACCAGACATCTCTGGCTCTGTTAATCCCCACCCTACCCCACCACGTCTTTGTGCTAGCAGGTGTTTTGTCACTGGCTAGTTTAATAGTCTTGGCATTGCAGGTCCAGGTTTGGAAGGAAGAAAAAATAGATACCAGGAGGACATCAACAGGCCAACTATGTGGCTGCAGCAAATCACTGGGAAAGTGGTATCATGGCCATAGATAAACAGGGATGGATAGATGGCCGGGGGGGGGGGACACACACATGAGAGAGAGAGAGAGAGAGAGNGAGAGAGAGAGGATAGATAGATAGATCGGTAGATAGATAGATAGATAGATAGATAGATAGATAGATAGATAGATAGAGGGTTGAGAGAGAGAAGACATGCCCTAAACAGGCAAGCAAACCTCTTATTTTCTCTTTTCAGACAGCCCCAAGGAGGCTGAAATCACTCAAATGGTGGCATCAGTTTAGCTCTGGAACTTCTGAGTCCTCCAGCAGGTGAAATACAGATTTAAGGGCCAACCTGGGCAGAGAAGAAGAGGCCAAGTATAGTGTAGAAAAGAAAGAATGGAGAAAATCTGCCTTTCACAGGCACAGTTGGAATCCAAAAAGGTGTTGATTCTAATTAAGACCCCACAGCTTCTTCCATGTGACCTGTCAGCTTCCAGGACAGGAGGCCTTCCTTAAGGGAGTCTAGTCCAACCGGCCCTGGCTGATTTTCCTTCGGCCACCTTTTAGGGGGCCACAGCACAGTAGTTCTAGCTAATATATTTTACTATATCAACTCCACCAATGGGGTGTGAAGTTCTTTTGAATGGAAGAGTTTGGCTTCTGCAGTGACTAAGGTCACATCTTTTCTCTAGCCTTACCTCTCACCAGTGAACATGTGGCCTTTTCATGGATAGATTTGTTTTCTGCAACAATGTTTACGATGCCCACGTGAGTAAAGGAACAATGCTAACAGCTAGCATCTGCTGAGCATGTACAGCGCGGCCGGCAGAGCTCTGGGGGACGTTTAGATGCCACATCACGAAAGCCCTACACCTATCACCCTACCTATATACAGATCTCACTGCTCTTTCGATTTCACAAACAGAAATGGCTACTCCAAGAGATATCCTTAAGTCTCTCCAGCTCTCAGGGTCCAGGCCCTACGTGAACATCGTCTCTTACTGTTTAACCTCTGAGTCCTTTCCCCACCCCTTCCCCTTCTAGAAAGCATTGTCTTTCCTGTATTGTTATCTCTCCCCACTCCACCCTAAGCCATAAATATTGCATGGGGGAAGTTACAAAAATAACTGTACCATTCGAAATTGCCCTCTTTTGTGGACTGCTCTGTAACGTGTTAAAGAACACGATGCCTGATAAAGTCAGTGCATCTAAATTCTCACATTAAAAAAAAAAAAAAAGAAAATTCCCAAGGGGAAAGAGCATTTGGTGGAAAGGAAAAACCTCTACAAGTACTCTAAGAGGCACCAGAACCTCAATTTTCAGAATATGGTGATTCTATCAAAGTTGTGACTTACTCTTGAGCCCTTGGGGATGGTCATCCCGACCCACCTGTGAACGTCACCAGCAGGCAGGCTGCCTTCTAGGGCGCAGGATGAAAGCAGTCTTGCTGAAGTGGGTTAAAATTGCCTTCAGGGCCGCAAGGCCGGGGCAGTGGTGGTGCACGCCTTTAATCCCAGCACTGGGCAGGCAGAGGCAGGCGGATCTCTGTGAGTTCGAGGCCAGCCTGGTCTATAAGAGCTAGTTCCAGGACAGGCACCAAAGCTACGCAGAGAAACCGTATCTCAAAAAAACAAAACAAAACAAAAAAATTGCCTTCAGGAAGAGATACACAGCAAAGCAAAGCACATACAGCCTTGTATACTGCAGGCCTCTTATGCATGACATCGATGTCTATATTCATGTCATCTAGAGCCCTCCTTACCCATGATTCTGCACATGCTCACAGTGGAAGTGATCTCTATCACTGGGGAAGCGATCTATAAGTCTAGGTAATTCCCAGCCACTCTGGAGGATGTCACCACATCTGGCTTCTACATTTCTAGTTCCCAAAAGCCCAACAGACCCTAGCACAGTACACGATCGCACAGCAAACAACAGTAAGATTAAAACCCAGAACTTCATCCTCAGACGTCCACGGCAGATCAACAGTGCTATGACGGGTTCTGGGGGAAACCAAAGGGCACTGAGAGGAACTAACTGTGAGCACAGGCCAGTAGGGAAGTCATCCCATCATATGCTACAGCAGGCGATGGCGTCAGATTCGGAAGCTCTGTCACCATTTCGAAGCCAAAGGGGCTGGCTAAAATTAAACATAAATAATTTGAGAGTCATTTCTTTATCGGGAAGTGCTCGCCAAGTGTTCCGCGGCATCTCTGATGTTTCAGATGCGTGCCGAAACGGGAGCGGTAGTGCATCAATGCTACCTATCTTTATTTGCTTTTTAAAGCCCCCCCCCCCCTCCTCTGTTGCTGTTAAGAAAGGGACACTTTTAGAGAAACCCTGTTTCTTGAGCACTGAGGTCTGAAGATACTGCATGTCTGTACCACGCCACTTTGCATTTGAACTTTCTAATAAAAAGGTGCCGGACCACCAAAACCAGTACCAGAGAGAACACCTTCCTCCATCCAAAGACCCTAGATTCTTTCTCATCCTGGCTACAAAACACATCCCTGCCTGCTTTGGGAATTTACAGATTTCTTACCTACCTCCTAAAGGATGAGCTGCCAAGCTTCAGAGGAAGGGAGCCTTCGCTCGGGTCTTGATCTGGTCAGTTGCTCCAGTTCACTGTCCCCCTGGAGCTGGTATCAGAAAATGCAAGCAGGACCCCGGGCAGCCCACACATCTCCTTTTCTGAGTCTGCAAATCTGAGCCCTTCCTGAGGCAGGCAGCAGGCTCAAACCCCAGCTGGTCTGCTTTTGCATTCCCTCGGAGAGAACACCGTCCCCAGATGCGGACCCTGCTGGAGATCTACCAAGCTGGGGACCGTGACTTGTGCTCTTGTTCTAGGCCTGCCTGAGCCCTGGAATTGTCTTCTCAAGAACCCCAGTTTCCTCTAAACTCGCCGACTTCACGATTATCTGAAGGAAGTCACAGACCCCAGTCTCTGCGTCATCCGCTGATCCTGAGCCAGACCTAGGAGACCAGTCAGCTGCTCGCAAAGCCGGGGCCACTGAACCAGGAAATGTGCAGCTCATCCAAAAAATAATAATAACTGTCACGGAGCGAGCGCCTGGCAGAGCTGGAGAAGTCGCTGTTCGCAGTTCCAATGCCTGCATCCTCCGCATGCTAATGAGGCTGTGATGTCAGCAAGTCAGTCACAGCATCTGGACGTCCCAGTCTGGCCGCCCAGGGTTGAGATTTATTTACATGTAAATTACCCTTGCCTTCCAAATCAATAATCCCTAAGCCAATGTGTTGGGGAGGGGGGAACCTTTCCTAATGTAAAAGCCCAGCTATGAAGCCACCAAAGGAGCAGGGGAAGAACAAAAATCACATCTCAGAGAGGATTAAAAGGCACACGACTGTTCGCCCCCCACCTTTTTTGTTTTTGTTTTTAAAAAAGAAGCTCCATGCCAGAGATCTTAGCTGGCCACAAGTATAGCTTGGATGCCAGGTTCAGATCAGAACCTGTACTAGCCCAGCAGCAGCACAACCAGAATGAGTCCTTTCTCTCTCTCTCTCTCTCTCTCTCTCTCTCTCTCTCTCTCTCTCTCTCTCTCTCATCTCTCCCTCTCCCCTCCTCCTTCTCCCTTCTCTCCCTCTCTCTCCTTCCCTCTCTACCTCTTACTATGCTGAACCTTCAAATGCTGTACTTTTCCCCCTCTTCAACTTTCATTCCAGGGTGTCAGATTTTGCTGCCCTGGGATCAAGTCACCTGAGAGTTTATAAACCTGGAATAAAATGCATTTAGCTGTCACCACTGGCTTTGGATGTAAATTGGTCACATACAGTCCCTGACCCCTTGCTCCCATTTCAAGAGAGCATAGAGGACAACATCATCACAAACCCTCAGACACACAAGGAGAGCAGCATCCCGAAGCCGGGAAACAGGCAGAATGGAGACAGGCTTCTTCCCACATCCGCCTGGGCTTCGGCAAAGGAGCCAGAACCTCCACTGAACCTTCTACCTTTAGCATTGTTCCTAAGGAGTTTTTTGTTTGTTTGTTTGTTTTTACAACAGCATCTCTTCCTGGCCTGGAACTTACCAAGCAGGGGAGGCTGGCTGGTTAGAGCTTTAAGGGGTCCATCTGTCTCTGCCTTCCCAGTGCTAGGATTGCAAGCAGGAGGCACCATGACTGACTTTTTCCCATGGGTTCTGGAAATGGTCCTCATGCCAGAACGCAAGCACTTTACCATCTGAATCAACTTCTGAGCCCCATTAATAAATGTTTAACAGACATATACTCTACACCACACACAATATAGGGACTGGGCATTTTCACAGTCTCTGTACTCACTGAGTTTATGTACCAAAGTGCAGTAACAGAAGCACAAACAGAATGGCCAACTTTGGGGTCAGCAAACAAAATGCTATTCCGTCTAATAGTCTTCCAGAGGGGGCTATGTTTCTCTGAGAACTTTTCTCCATTGTCATATCCTATTGCTCCAAACTAATTTTCTTTCCATGTTCCCTGTCGTCCCCCAGACCAGGTGAACAGCAGGTTTAAACTAACTTCAGACAAGAAAACCCTATGGGCAAGCAGTGCGTGTGTATGCATGTTTGTATGTGTGTGTGTGTGCACGTGCATGTGTGCATGTGTGTGTGTCTGTCTGTGTCTGTGAGGGTATCAGCTGCAGAGAGGCCCAGTCCATCACGCTCTGAGGTCCCTGAGGACAAAGCAGCCAGTGCAGCTCCTCGTCCCCACCCCACCTCTGCTGGAAAGCCCACTGTGATGAGACCTGCCCTTTCAGCTGGAGCTCCTGAAGCTTCAAATGAGTTTCTTTGTTGGATGTTGAGAAGGTAAATTATGTCTTTTGTTATACATAAATGTATTAATAATGCTTAATCATTTCTTCCAGAAGGTTTTTTTTTTTTCTGGTTCACCGAAGACCTTTATGATTAACAACATGGGACCTAGAATAACTTTTACCCAGAGAAATGGAACATGAGAGACAGTCTGTTTTAAGTCCCCGTCACATATGTGGGGCATCATATGGATATGCCAACCCTCAATATCCATCAAAAGGTTAGTTACTAAACCAAATCATTTGGAGCCACCAACAGCCCAGCGGAAGGGGTGACATCCAACTTCAGGGAGGCCAGGGACAAGTCTTTTCAACTAGCTTATGGCCCAGTTTTGTCATGGGAAAATGGGCCCACCCGACTCTGACCTTATCGGCATTACTCCATGAGGACAATAAGACACGATTCACAAGTAATTGGCAGAGAGGAGGCAACACGAGATTCATCTTTAGCTGGAACAGATTTGACACAAGGCTAGAGAAGTCATGAGACTTGATAATATAGAGTGGAATTAGCAGCATAGTATGGCATCCGGAATGGATGAGCTGGAAACCATTAGATTTGAAGCCTGGGCCTCTCTTGGGGCTAGCACTGAAACTCTGGGCGGGCTTTGCACATGCTAGGAAAGCCCTCCATCACAAAATAACATTGTCAGCCACTAAGCCTAGGATCCCCAACTGTAACAAGGGATGTTAACAGTACTTAGCTTCATAGAGCTGTTGGGGAAATAATTAAATAAATTTAATGTGAAATATTTCACATTGAGCCTATACAGCACACACTTGACAATGTTAGCTATTCATAGAAGAAATAATGTTACCCTCACTAACTTTGGCACTATCGATCTAATTGATTGATTTCAAGGGTTGAAAGGAAGACTTTAAAATCATTCCTACTCCCAAGGGTGTATATCCTCATAGCTCCACCAAAAGTGAGTAATCTTCTGACACGCCCTATTCTATAATCTCCAACACAGACTCCTTGGAATCCGAAAATACAAGGTAAGAAGGCATAAAAAATAACTGATCGACATCAGGAGGGAGACATTTCATTTTCTGAAACTGTATATTGGGATAAGACCATCAAAGATACTCCTTTACACACAGTGAGGTGCCATCCTAATAAAGAGAGCTGAAATACAAGTTTTAAATGATTACGAAACACCTGATCTACCCAGCTACCAGTGTTTCTTCTTATGACCACATGACTACCACAGAACTGGAGCTCACTGCCACTGCCAGCTTTGCAGGCAAGCACCAAACCACCTAAAATTCAAAATTCAAAGTTAAGGCTTTTGTATTATTAGAAGGTTGGAAACAACCATCAAATCTCTCTTGTCGGTGTCTATATGTATATTTCTGGAACACGTGCTTCATCTACTCATTATCTTCAGGTGATGGGGATCAGATACATTACATGAGCCCCCCTCTATTTCTCAGTCACTGGCTCAGGCCTAGGGGATGCTTTGGTGATCAAGACAGATCCAGAGCCAGCCTTCAAAGAGCTCCACAGCGAAAGTGAAGACAATGAAATGAGCCACTAGAGTGGAAGGTGATGTGTGCTATGAGACAGCCTATGTGGCCCTTGGGTCTAGCTACAGTCCAGCGGGGCATTCCAAAGCTCAGCAGATGGAGGAAGCAGAATATCTAGGAATCAGGACTGCACAGACTATTAAAATATCTACACACAGAAAATTCCTTATGATGGAGACTGTTCTGTTGGGGAGTTTTTGAAAATATGCTTCAAGGTATGCAAAAAAAAAAGATCATGCAAAAACCACATGGGAAAGTGCAGAGGCCTGGTATACTGACAAACTTGTACTGTGCGTATTGTGCTTGTAAAAGCAGAGGAAAATGCTACATTGATGAAAGCAACCTTCATGGGCAGCGGTAGAAAAGAATAGGCAGTGTGTGCACAGGGCATGCAAACCCATCAAGAATCCATTAAAGGCCAGGGAAACAAATGCAGATGCTGACATTTAAAACTTTGTATCTAGCTTGGAAAGTGGAAAATTGTAGAAGCCACAATACCGTGTAGGAAGAGGGAAAGGAGAGTAAGACTTTGTCCAATGTGATTTAAAAAAAAAAAAAAAAGGACCAGGAAAACTGTGAATTGAGTTATCCCTCAGGTCAAAGCAAATTTTGCTTTTTTAGAAACAATTTTCTATGAGGAAGGCCTATCCTAAACATGACATGAAATTTAGAAGCTATAAATAGGAAAAAAGAAAGTCCTGCTGAAATTGCCAAGGTCAAAATTTAGTAGCTAGAGAGGGTGTCTAGGCAGGAAGGGACAGAATTAACAACAAATGGAGAATTAAAAACCCTGGCATCATGGGTACAGGATACAGGGCAGCACCAGTTTAACAGTGGCAGCTAACAAAGAGACCACACCGTGGGCTGGTAAAGCAAATGTCGTCCGACTCCCGCTGGTATTGTTCAGGACCCTACTAGAGAAGCACAAGGAAAGGCTGTGTGAATCTGTCTTGTTAGCCTGTAAGCGTAGAGAAAAGAAGTGAAGTGGGGACAGGGAGCATGACAGACTACAGGGGGGCCTTCTGAGGAAGGGTGTAATGAGCAACTTTTAATTTCCATTTCTATAGGTATCAAATATGAAGGGATGAACCTGAAATGAACTTAAGTAAGGCCGTTAAGTACTGAGATAAGAGCTGGTATGGATTACTTAGAGAAATTTTCATTTTTAGAGAAATCAAAAGAGATAAAGACCATCGTAGCTGGGTAAGGTCGGGACCATTCATAAAATGCTAATTACTGCTAAAGACATTGCCCTGGCTTCAAACCACTCATCTAATAAGGGTCATTTAACTTCATTTTTCACAGGTGTATATGCTGTACACATGTGCACTCATGTGAATATATAGTTTTAAATATATAGTCTTTACAGGAAGTTTTCTAACATCCAGACATCAAAATCCAGCAAAGTCAATGAGGATGGGGAAGGTAACAAAGAATTTTCATATTAAAAGGGACAGACCGGGTGATAACATAATAACCTGTCTCAGATTTCAGTGGTTTAGCACAGGAAACATTGATTTCTCACTCAGGCAAGGCTGTCTGGGGGAAGTGGAGAGGGTAGGGCAGGGAACATAGGCTTTGTAGATACCTCCACTCCAAGCTGTGGCTCAGGGATCTCACCCAATCCGGTTGTATCTAGGATTTCAACCTGTAATTTCCATGTTCTAACAACACAAGAAGAAATGAATAGGCTTCCGTGTGATTCAACTTGGAGGTGAATAACAGCACTTTGAT